GTGGGGGTTAGGAGTGCAGACCCCCACACAGTCAAAAATCTGCATATACTTTTGACTCCAAAAACTTCACTACTAATAGCCAACTGTTGACCAAAAGCCCTACCAATAAACAGTTGATTAACACATATTTTGTATGTTATATATATAATATACTGCATTCTTATAATAAAGTAAGCTAGAGAAAAGAAAATGTTATTAAGAAAACAATAAGACTGAGAAAATACATTTATTTTCTGTATGCGTATTTATTGGGAAAAAAAAATCTGTGTATAAGTGGACCTATGCGGTTCAAACCTGTGTTGTTGAAGAGTCAACTGAATAAAAATTATCCTCAAATACTTAAAAGCTAGTGGATAGAAAGCAAAATTAAAATTAAGTTCAGTTTAACACTTTAAAGATGATACACAAACAAGATAAAAACACAAAAGAAGGAACTAACCTCATCAAGGGAGGTCAGGGAAGATGTACTGGATGTTCTTGAGTTAGGTCTCAGATGACAAGTTGCAGTCAGATGGACCAAAGGGCTGAGAAGTGCATCTTGCACTGATTGACACTAATTTAAATACAGAAAGGTGTTAGAGAATATTACAAATGTGAGCAAATATAATTGAGTAAAGCTATGGGTTGCAGTGGCTCTATATATGGTTTTTGGACTAGGTTAAATAGAAATGGACCATAATTTCTAAAGGAACTTGTGCATACTTGTAAGGGGCTTGGACCTAATCTTAGAGGACACAACATAGTCATTGTAATAGAAAATAAGCAACTTGACCAGATTAATATTATATTGATGTCAAACTAGAATCAATGTTAAAAATGGTCTAAAGATTGTCAAGACAGAAGACAGGGAAACCCTTTAGGGTGCTTCATCCAGAAGTGGATGAAAGTGAAATCCAACAGTGGGTGTCATGAAGGATGAATAAGTATAAAAGTTACATAGGGAAAAAAAATGGCACAGATAATGTGGATCATCATATACTAAGAATGAGAAGAAAAAAGAAATCCACAACAAGTTTAATTATTTGGCAGATTTTTGTGTCATTTATTGCAACAAACCAATAAACAAACAAAAAAATAGACAAAAGACCTGCATAGAAATTTGGTGAACCAGTGGGCAAGATGAATCCAGTTTCATTATAGTAAATTTGAGACATGTATATTGAGTACATAGTGGTATGTTCTTCCATAGAGGGTTGTAAAAGGAAAAATTACTTCTATTCACAGAGAATTTGGAAGAATGCCTAATAAAGCAAAGAGAGAAAAAGAAATTTCTTCACACACAAAAATAAAAAAGAAAATTAAAGCAAAGAGAGATCACAATGCCAAGTTATAAAAAGAGTATCAGAACTTCATATGCTCAGAGCTCAATTGCCCCAATAGATCAGATGTGCTGTAGGAAATACAAGAGTCAGATATCACCATGGACTAAAGAAGGGAGACATTAGAGAAGGAGCCCTAGAGACCTCAATTACTCAGCAACATGACAGCCACCCTATTCTGTTACTCTGAGCACTAAACATTAATAAAAATTTTCGCCTAGCATATTCCATGTCAAAATTTTGCCAAAATTTATATGGCCCATTCCTCAATCTATCCTTTTCCACCAACTTAATCACACTTTACAGTTTCTTCTGACAGGCCTAATTATAAAATAGCTAATTTTGTAACAATCTACAGAGATAAAGGAATTTTTCCCCTCTGATGTCATTTTCCTTCATTTTTAAAGCAGATGCAGTGAAGAGGAGAACTGATTTACATATTCTTATTCTATACATACTCATTTATCTACTATACTAATCAAGCATACATATTAGGAGATACGGTTTTTATGTATCTCCCTCTCTTTCCTAGCTCTTGATGTCATAAACTTCTCCTGTTCTCCATCATTGAATAACAACTGCCTCATCACTTTGGCACCCACACACAATTATTTTACTTTTTCTTGATATCCCCCCTTAAATCCTTTAATATTCTTCAGCTCTTATTCTGCATACGCATGCTGGGTCTTCCCTCTTAGACAACTGTCTCCCACTTCTCCCTAAAAAAGTCTCTGACTTAGGGTATTCATAATTTGTCTTCCCCGTTGGATACAGACACAGCACACCGCTCTCTGTGACTACTGCTGTAGAGTCAAAGAAAGTTAGATGACACTGTTATTTACTACCTCTACCACTTTGGACAAATTGTTAAAGTATTTTTAGCACATTAAAAACTAGTAATTATTTTACTTTATGTAATATTGAAGACAGTCAAGCATATGTATCTGAACCGCTCAGCACAGTGTCTGAGACTTTGGGTTTAAATGAAGTAAAATGTTAATTGAGATGCTGAGGAGATACTTTGGGTTTAAATGAAGTAAAATGTTAATTGAGATGCTGAGGTAGCCATGATATCAAGCATATGGGCCATACACAGCAGTGATCTATAGACAGGAGTGATCTGTGGTGCCCAAGTTATCACTTGTAAAGATGTTACCTTCCAGGGCTTCTCTTAAGAGTGATCTTGCCTAATTTTTTTCTTTCTTTTTTTGCTCATAATATTGTTAAGTGTGTGTGATATATGTGAGAATGAGATAGAGGAGGTACATTGTCAACATTATCAACTTTATAAGTTTTAGAACTATAATTTTTAGTTAATATCAGATAGTAATGCTTTGAGAGAACAGGAATTTCAGTACATGGATTCCCACCATAGGCATTACCTGTGCCTGGAGGTGGGTTTATAATGACAACCCATTCCAGAGCTCTTCCAAGAAGCTTTTGAAAATGGTAGTCTGACTCCTTTAGGGGAATGGCAATCTATACCTCTGACCTAACCCAGAGCAGTAACATACACAAGTAGAGATCAGTCCGATCTCTTGACTTTCCCTTCCACTTCCTGAATTCTTCAAGTGTGTAATGTACTTATCCATTCTTCTCACCTTGAAGCCTTCCTTCAGGCACACCTGAGCCCTCAAGTGCTGACAGCCTTTCACCCAGCTGTAGGTTGGCTGAGTTTCCAGTCTGTCAAGCTAGTGACTTCCTGTAGGTAGAGAAAGCCACTGGAGATGGACATAGTGAAGAATAAAATACATTGTTTCTGAATGCAGATAATTCTTCAGGGAAATACAGATGTCCTGAGTGAGGCATCATTCTCTCCTTTAGTGACTCTAGAGCCAAGATATGGCTTATTTTGCCCTTGGCATCCTTTACTCTATCCAGCCAGGTTCTTTATCAGCACTACATTTCTGTGCTTTAACTACTCTAACCTGTCAGCCTCTCTTGAAGAGTCCATTCCCTCAGGACCATGTTATTTTCTCAACACA